CCCCCCCCCCCCCCCCGCACAATTTAACTGCTGGTCAAAACTGAACCACGTAAGGTGGGATTTTCAAATGCACTCAGGACTAGGTGACTTCTCCCCTTGGAAGCCCACAATGGGAGTTGCTCCCTTTAGAAAAAACCATCTGCGGATGCTTAGTGCTTTCAAGCAAGGAATTTTCAGCAAGCTGTGTATGAGTGAGTGTGCAATTTGTGTAGTGTCTGCTTTGCTGAGTGGGAACTGCAGCATAGCCCATGTGTGTGTGTGTGTGTGCGTGCGTGCGTGTGTGCGCGCGTGTGCGTGCGCTGTAATCAGAGAGAGTTGGGGGCTGTCTCTTTAAGGAGCTATTTAATTACATCTAACTCAGGTATAGCTATTGTTGAAAAACTGCACACCCTGCAGTATTAAATAACTCCAAGGTAGCTAAACCCTTTGGCCTAAACCCTTCGACCTTGTCCTTGCTTCGAAGCTTTGCTGCTATAGCTACACAGACACGTTTTCCTAGTGCCGACACAGCTTCCACGGCCTTGGCGACAAAAAAGTGAGAGTTTTACACTACAATGTGACTTTTGGTGTCAAAAAAGTTCCAGCCCTGCAAAAGACTTTTGTCCTTCCCCTCCCTTTACTGTCAACAAAGAGCCAGTGAGGACTCTGCCGTTTGTTTTGTTAACAGAACCGGCCAGTATCCCACAATGCCCGCCCTGATGGCTGTGCTCAGTGTTTTGTGATCTCTGCTGCCCTGCAGGCATGTGCCTCTCCCCTTTCAAAACTCCAGGAAGTGCCTGACAGCTGAGTCAGCTGCTCCATTTAAGGAACAAGGAACAAATCATTGGAATGCTCTTGTTCTGCTCTGCTAGGAACACTGTGGCAGGAAGGCAACATCTTTAATCCGGCATATCCTGGTTTCTAGGGTTGCCGGATTAAAGAAGTTCAAGTGCCGGATTAAAGAGGTTCAAATGTACTGGCAAGAGCTGTGCCTCAGTTTCCCCAACGATAAAACGGGGGATAGTGGCATTGCCCTACGTTTCCCTGCTCCAACCCAGGAGGGTTTCATGAATGTTTGCAAGGCACGCCCAAGGTCCACCCGGCATCCAGCACCGTAGGATCTGGGCTTGTACTGACTCTCCAAGTAAAATAAGCCATGCCTGTAAAAGCACTTGGATGCTAGTGTCACCACATCGACAGGTGGGCTGCCCTGACCTTTTAAGCTTCCATCAGGCCCAAGGGTAAAAAGGAGAGCGCATTCAGAGAGTTTTGGCAGGAGAGACTCCTCAGGCATCTCCTACCTGGAGATTTTAGTCATGGATGCAAACCCCAAGTAGAAAGGAGATTGACACAAGCAATGGGCAGCCTCGTTGCTCCGCAGCGTGAGTTGTGCAGGCGCATGTCACGTCTAGGCCAGATGCTGGCACTCAGGGAGCTACACCCCCGGCTAACATCCCGGCATGAACAAGGACTTCCCCAAAGGTCGGTTCTCTATAAACTGGCTGCCACTGGGACTGGGGGACCGGCTCTGGCCCGTCACCCAGGAGTCCCAAAGAGCACAGCTTCCCATCGGGCATCTCCTGTGGCGCTCACCACCCACGGTGCCCCCGGCACAAGGCGATACTCACTACTCTGGGAGGAGCTTTTGGGCTTCCCGATGTACTTCAGGATGGGATTGCGTTTCTTGTCCTCCATCGCGTCTTTGTCCTTCTTCGCGCTGCTGCTCTGCTGAGACACACAAGGCGAGCCTCGAAAGGAGCGTCTTTGCCAGGAGGCAGCTTAGCCGTAGCTGCTGCGTTTGATTTGCAAGAAAGGAAAAGGAGGCCGGATGGGCCTGGGGGTAGTGGTCAGGGTGGGGTGACAGGGTTCTAATCCCCCACGGACGTGCCACGGGACCCTGAACAAGCCCCTCTGTGCTGCAGTTTCCCCCACCTCTGTGCAATGGGGGTAGATTACACTCAAGGGTGGGGTCCTTTTCCGCTACGTGTTTACCAGGATGCTGCACCTTGCAACGACCCCAAACTTCCCAGGAGCAGTCTGGACAGAACTCTCACCCTCCTGAGCTGAAAGCTCTATCACTGGAGCTAAAGGAGAATCTCCATTATGGCTACGTCTACACTACGAGTTTTCTGGGCGAAAAATATATGTAAATGAGGGACTCATTTGCATGAGTCACGATCTCATTTGCATATTTTCTGCGGATCCGTTTTTGCGCAAAAACAAGCCGCGTGGACCTTTTCTTTTTGCGCAAAACCCCCTTTTCCCGCAAGGCCGGTATACCTGGTTGATCCCGGTTGAACACAAGTGACACCGAACTGTGCTGATCCCAATAAGCGCGCATCCCTGCGTGCCTACGCTGGCCAGCGATGCATCGCTCCGTCTTGCCTTCACCCTCCGCTCGGAGGGAGTCACGGCTGCCCTGCACATTTAGCCTGCCTGAGGCGCGTTAGCGGGCGCGATGTTTGGCATCCGCGCAACACAGGGCCTGGGGCCCACACCGCCCCTCCAGGGGGGAAAACCAGGCTCGGGGAGCAAACGGCGGGAGGGAGAGAGACAGGGGAAAGCAACGGAGGGGAAGAAATCCTGGGAGGCTATTCTGGGTAGCAGCAGAGGCGGCAGAAGGCAGGGAAGAGGAGGCCGGAAGACACCAGGGGCCTGTTTCTCCCCCACCCTGCAGCTCTGGTGCAGTCATGTTCATGGGCGCCAACGCAAAAGAGGCCACGTTTCAGGCCCGAGTGCGAGCGACAAGGCCTCTCACCCATAGGCTGTGGGGGGAGGGTAGCTCTGAGCTCAACGAACAGGAGGCCTCTGGCCAGGGAGGGGAATTAGGTGCTCACGCCCGTTCCCGCCAGGGCAGCTGGGGCTCGGAGAGGCCGGGGAGAAGAGAACTGCAGGAGGAGTCGATGGGCAAGGAAGAATCCAGTCAGACAAAGCAACATGGCCGACGCCGCACCCACCTTCTTGGCCTTGGGGAAGAAGGGCAGCCATTTGTCCTTGTCCGGAAAGGCCTGGGACTTTTCACTGGTGCTGGTCGGCCGGGCCTCCCGCATCCGGATTCCCGTGTGGCTCATGTACGTGCTGAGGGCAAAGGCCATGGGGGAGCTGGAAGACAGGAAAACCCAGACACGCTGCGGATCATCGCGGAGGCATCCTTCTAGGATGCAACACTGACACCGGCGTGCCGGGGGATTCTGGCCTCGCTTGGCTACCGCAGGGGCGAGAGGCTGGAAAAGAGCCAGCGAGAGGCTCAAAGCTGGGAGTAGCCACATCCAGCGCCCCAGGGAGGTACGGGAAGCCCTGGGACTCCCTTTGTCCAGTGCTAGCTGAATGCCAGGCGAGCGCCCGCAGTGCTGAATGGGAGCCCGGTGCTTGGTGGACAGATCTAAGTGCAACCCTGGCTCGCCGGGGCAATCCGCATTCAGAGAAGCCGCTGCAGTCGGCAGGACGAGCCGGGGGCAGTCAAAGTTGCAGGGACAGGCCCTGAGCGGTTTCAGGTGCTTTCCAAACATGGAGCCTCCCAACAGTCCCGGCCTGCACCATCCTCATTTTATCACTGGGGAAACTGAGGCACGGGGCGGTGCAGTCACTTGCCCAGAGTCACAGCCTGCACCAGTGGCAGCCTAAAGGGTGCCGCAATGGTCTCCCATGACACTCGGCATTTTGCTGCTCAGCTCCCGAGTCTCCGCCAAGATTCACCAGCAGAGGAAAAAGGCTCTTTGCCACAAAACAAGCAGGCGCAGATCAGCTGGACTGTGGAGGGTTCTCAATGCGCCATAAGCAGTTGGAGAAAGCCGGGGCCCCGCGCCAGCGTCTCCTGCCGTAGCTCTGGGTGAGAGATCCGGCGGGCAGCGAACGGCCTTCCCGTCTCCTAGTCACCGCAGCGCACCCTCACCGTGCCTCAGTTTCCCCAACACTAACACGGGGGATAGAGGTATTGCCCTACTTTCCCCCTTCCCCAACCCAAGAGGGTTTCATGAACATCTGCAAAGCTCCCCCAGATCCACCCTGCATCCGGCACTGTAGGATCTGGGCCCGGGGACTTCTGGAAACTTGGAATGTCTTTGCCAGCGAGCAGGTGCCCACCAAGGGCAGAGAGAGATGCCAAGCAACAAACTCTCCTGGCCGGCGTAGGGTCATGTCTCCACAGAGTGGGGCTGGTGGGAGGGTGACACGCAGGAGGCTTCGGTGTGGGGTGGGGAACCCGTTCTAGGGCCGAGTGTCTTCTCCCTCCCTAAGCTCTCCAGAACACCCCCTCCCGCCTCTCCAGGGCACCCTCACACCCGGGCACGCACGACGGCTGGGCAGCAGGCAGGCACTCACCTCCTGTCCTCTTCGTATTTCGACCTGGAGCGGGAAAGAGGGAAGGGGCGTGAGAAGCCAGGCCAGCACCGTGCACCGCCATGTACTCGGCCTGATCCGAGAACGGGAGAAGGCCTAAGGCCCAGGCCTTCGAGGCCAGGACGCAAAGCAGCTGCAGGGGCCAGATCCGATGGGCAGATCTCCTTTGACGGGGATGGGGATACGGCAGTTTACGCCTGCCGACCCAGCCCCGTTAACCCCATGCAGTCAATACTGCTCCAGCCAGCACTGCTAAGAGAGGACAGCCCCCCCAGACCCTCGCCTAGCACCTGCTCCTACCTCCTGTCCTCACGCCCACAGCTAGGTCCTTCCGCTTGCCCCACCCTCCCTTGCCTTCAACGGTAAAGCCACGGCGCTGGGGAGCTTGGGGATCGGCCCCAGGATAAACCAGCCAGGCGTAGCTCCTGGTCCCACCCGGCGCGCCCCACTGACTGGGCCGCTCCCGATTTCGGCTGGCTGGCTCACGTGCTGGACGAGGACTGGCCCCCGCTGCCTGGCACTCACAGTATGTCGCCCAGGTGCGCGAGCTGCTTCTCGGCCACCTGCCGCTCCTTCTGGGGATCCCCGTCCAGATCCAGCAGGTCGTTTTCCCCATACAGGCTTCCCAGCCCCATAGTGCGCTTCGTCCTATGGACAGACAGGCATCAGAACATCAGGACGGCCAGAATCGGTCGGAGCAAAGATCCATCTAGCCCCATGTCCTGTCTCCCGACAGTGGCCAATGCCAGATGCCCCAGAGGGAATGAACAGAGCAGGGAATCATCAAGTGATCCCTCCCCTGATGCCCATTCTTAGCCCTGACAAACAGAGGCTACGGACACCATCCCTGCCCATCCTGGATAACAGTCATTGATGGACCTATCTTCCATGAATGTATCTAGCTCTATTTGAACCGTGTTAAATTCCTGGCCTTCACAACATCCTCTGGCGAGGAGTTCCACAGGTTAACTACACATTGTATGAAGAAATACCTCTTTTTGTTTGTTTTAAACCCTACTGCCTATTAATTTCATTGGGTGACCCCCTAGTTCTTGTGTTCTGAGGAGTAAATAACTCTTCTTTACTAAACACTTTCCCCACATTCGTCATCATTTTATAGACCTCTATCCTATCCCCCCCCTTAGTCATCCCTAAGCAGAAAAGTCCGTCTTATTAATCTCTCCTCACATGGCAGCCGTTCCAAATCCTGACTCATTTTTGTTGCCCTTTACTGAACTTTTTCCAGTGACAAGGTATCTTTTTCGAGATGAGGTGACCACAGCTGCGCGCAGTCTTCCAGATGTGGGCGTGCTGTGGATTTACACAGCGGCAGTAAGCTATTCTCGGTCTTATGCACTGTCCCTTTGGAAAGGGATCCCACCACGCTGATGGCTTTTGGGCTGCCGCTGCACAGAGAACTGTGCACAATCTATCCAGGCAGCAGGACACAAGTCAGCCCCACCAGCCTGCGTGGCACAGCAGCCAGGCCTGGCCACAGAGCAGAGGCCAGGCAGGAGAGGGTGTGCGAGGGCGTAACCTGTAGTCCTGGATCTGCTCCTGGATCTCGGGCATGGCTGCGTCCTGAGCCTCGGAGAAGGCGCTTCGGGCGTCCTCCCCGTTCCGCAGGCGAGACTCTGGAACCGCGGGCGGGAGACAAGAGGGAGGTGCGCACGTTACCCACCACACTCAGCTGGGGGGGTGCACGGCCGGCTTGGGACACCAGCAGTGCTGGGCACTGACACGGCACGTCCCAGCCGAGGATCCTGCCCTGCCAGCCAGCCAGGCAGCTGTTTTTTAGGAGTGCAAACCCCAGCTGCACTGACACCGGCACAATGGTGGGGGCCCCGCACTGCCGCAACAAGGCTCGAAGTGAAAGCCTCATGCACACTGGGACTCTCCCCCCCCGATTCCTGCGGCCAGGGAGTGGCACCTGTTCCGGCAGAGCCCCTTGATTAGCAGCCTCAGGCTTTCCAGCAGGACAATGCGAAAAGCAACTCGATGAGCACAAGAGCAGCTACACTGAATGCTGGAGTTTGGGGGCAAATCCAGGCTCGCCTGCAAGGCAGGGTGGCCCCCGGGGAAGGGAACTGGGAGAGCTGGGTTCTCTTGCCAGCTCGGCCACCGGCCTGGCTGGCTCACCCCAGTCAAACCGCTGCCTCAGTTTCCCCTCCCGCCCGCTGTCTAGCTCAATTTTAAGCTCTTTAGGGCAGGGACTGTCTCTCCCTTTGGTCTTGCCCAATGAAACCCCAATCTCAGCTGGAGCCGGGTAGACACGGCCGCAACTCACAGCAGCGGCCTGCTTCACAGACGCTGAAACGGAGGGTCACGCAAGAAAAGCGACTTCCCCAGGTGAGCCAGGAAAAGAACCCAGGAGTCCTGGCTCCAAATTGGCCTCACAGCGACGTTTCCTCCCTAACGAAGGGGGGAGAAACGTCTCTCCTATGCAAGCCCTCCCTCTCCAGGGGAGACCAGAGGATGTGAAGAGTGCTGCACTCTGACAAAAGGGAACCTCTGATTCAAAGCAAAGCCAGGAGGGGCACCAGCCACGGCCAGGGGTCCCTGATGACCCAGGAGTCCTGGCTCCAAATTGGCCTCACAGCGACGTTTCCTCCCTAACGAAGGGGGGAGAAACGTCTCTCCTATGCAAGCCCTCCCTCTCCAGGGGAGACCAGAGGATGTGAAGAGTGCTGCACTCTGACAAAAGGGAACCTCTGATTCAAAGCAAAGCCAGGAGGGGCACCAGCCACGGCCAGGGGTCCCTGATGCTGCTTCAGTTCCTACCCCTAAGAGCGGCGGCGTGGCCAGACGCATGCACACACCTACTTACCTATTTCAGCTAGTAACGGCTCAGACAACTTTATTCTCAGAGGCTAGGAGGGGAACAAAAGGCAACTGCGTTAATAATTACGAGAGGCGTACCAGGTCGGAGGATATATACCACGGGAGTGCCAGGAAAGGCGGCACGCGCTCTGCTCAGCAGCAGCCGTATTTAAAAGATCAGAGCTCAGAATTTCACACTAATTGAAACACCTGATTAAATCTTAATCTCTTGGCAAATATCAACGCGTCCCTACGAAGCAGTGTATTTGCTACCAACATGGCTATTAAGCAATAAGTGTGTGTATGTGTGTGGGGGGGGAGGAATCACTTATCGAGGGAGAAACAATAGCTCAACCCACCTATCCTGACATAACCAAGATCCTGGACCTTGCCTATTCTGGCTTGAACTCCAGCAGTGATGTTACACGGATGGCAAACGCCAGTGCAGTTCACACCAGTGCAACACCATTTGCACCAGGGTTGTTTACCGTGCAAAGCACATGTGCTCCAGAATCAGCATCAGGGCAGCTAGGTCGCTGGCTAAAAACCCCATGGGGCAGACAGCCTTGGTTACAAGGCGCCCACACGGGCAGGCTGGATGCATGGCACGTCCAACCGCAAAGCCATGGTTGGCCGGCCAGCTCCTGCGGCAGCAATGTCCCACACTCGCAGCAAAACGCCGGTGCTCACCGCATTCTTCTCCAGGAAGATGTTCCAGATCTCCTTCCCCAACGCCCGGGAATCCTTGGCGTTCATTTGCTGGCAAACTTCTGCGCACAGATAGAAGAGCTGGAGGAGGGGGCAGAGAGAAGGAAAAGAACGAGACTAAGGAGTGAGAAACACTGACACAGCAGCACATCCCCCCAGAAACAGTACAGACCATAGGAGACCTCCACAGAGGTAGATTGGTGCCCTGTGCCGGAGGAGGGATCCGAGTCCTTGGATGGCATTTCCAATTCCTGTGTCTACAGATGCCCACTGACATCAATAGTACATACAGCAGGACAGCATGGTCAGGCCAAGCTGTGCCTTAGCCCCACTGGTGCATGGACACCAAGGGCATTCGGTGCACCCAAACAAGACAGTGCAAGTAACTACAGAGGAAGTGAGCTGCACAGTCCTGAGCAGATACAAGATTTGTATCTGCACCCGTACCCGCAAAAATGAGCCAGGGAGATCTGCCTTGACAGCCGCGGATGCGGATCCCTGCGGAGATAAAGCGGACATCCGCAGATTTGCAGGGCTCTCGTAATCTGTACTTGGCGGGCACAGTCAGGGGATGTCTCCACACCAGGGCAAAAGTCGAATGAAGCGACACAACTTCTGCTATGTCAATTGACGTAGCTTAATTCAGCTTTTGGCGCTGTCTGCACAGCTGGAGGTCGAAGGAAGAACACCCTTACGCCTCGGTGAAATAAGGGTTACAGGAGTCGGAAGAAGTGCACAGCTGGAAGTCGAAGGAAGAACACCTTTACGCCTCGGTGAAATGAGGGTTACAGGGGTCGGAAGAAGAAGTCCTCCAGCCCGACATGATTTCGAAATAACAGTTTGCTGCGTAGACACGTTCTTTGCTATTTTGAAGTAACGTCGGCTGTGTAGACGTACCCTCAGCAAAGCCCACGGATGTCCACGTTGCACGAAATGTGCCTAACGTGGATCCAGGGAGGAGGGAGAGGCTAGGGCCTGGTCCGAAGCCAGCTGCTGGCAGTGTGTGATTTCCGTGGGCTTGGGACGAGGGCTGGAAATGCCCTAGACTCCCCACCACTCACTCCACCACATGCGAGCTCCCTGGATCGAGCCAGGAGCTACCCCCCAAATGCTGACGGAAGCCACGGTTTTCACAGCCCGCCCCGCCCGGAGGTAGCCGCACTCGCGCTTACCAGGGGGCTGGGATCTGCCTGGGAGAAGATGTAGCGCAGGAAGACGCCCAGGTGAGCCGGTCGGGATTTCAGCTTCCCCAGGTCCTGGAAGAGGGTGTCGCACTGCGGCGGGAGGGGGGGAGACAAGCCAGTCACAAAGGGCAGACTATGCCCACGGAACGGGCTCCCCCTTCTGTTAAACTGGCCTTCGCCCCATTCCAGCCCCTGGGGCTGCTGCCGCAGACAAAGCCCCGGGCAGGCTGGGGAGCAGCTCTCCACCCACCCAGCCCCGGAGTTAGACGCCACCACCGCGGCTGGGCCGGTTTGCACCAGTGCAGCCCATGGAGGCAGCCGCTCAGGCTAGGCGAGGCCTACGGCAGCCAGACCGGGCCAGCAGAACAAGGGCTCCCCCGACGCTGGCCACAGCCCCACGGAGCGTGCGCAAAGTGACGACCCCACAGCCTGGAGCAGGGCCACGGTGTGGTGGGCGCAGAGGAGGGGAAGCCGCGAGCCAGCGAGGCGCAGGGTCCCGCGCCGATACCATCTCTGCAGCACCCCCGTCGTAGAGCGGCCGTCGGGACCCTCGCTGCCCTACGCAGGCTCCCGGCCGCTTGAGGTGCAGCTGCTGGTAAAGCCGGGGACCCACTCGACTGTGCTCCTGGCGACAGCTCCCGCTCCCAGCCCGCCCCGCTGGGATCACTAGACCCCACTCCCGCTCCAAGCTGGGCACAGAACCCAGGGCCCCCAGCCCAGCCGCCATGGTTACCGGTGTCGCCGACGGCGCGGGGGGAGGGAGCTCCTTGGGAGCTGTTACCTCGTTGTTGAAATACCCCGGGTCGCAATCCTCCTCTGGCCCAATGATGAGAGGCCTCAGCGTCCGGTCCAGCCCCTGAGGAGATGGGACCATGATGGGATAAGGCCCCCCCAACGGCAGCCGTTCCCGCCACGGCTCGCAGCCCGGGTCAGCCGCGAGGGACTCCCGGGGCCTCCATCAGGAAGGGCGTCCCCCTTCGCTCCCAGCTACCACGCGGGTGGCACCTCAGGGCCACGAGAAGTCAGGGCCTCTGTGTGTGTCTCCTCCCACAGACGGGACCAGCAGTAGCACCCTGGGCTCAGCACTGACCCCCAGGGCAGAGCGCCCCCGCCCCAGCCCCACAGCACCCTGCGTCACTGGATCAGCACTGACCCGCCCCCTACCTAGCGCCACACCCCAATCCCCGCAGTACCCTGAGTCACTGGATCAGCACTGACCCACCCCCTACCTAGCCCCACACCCCACTCTCCATGGCACCCTGGAGGCACTGACCCATGAGGCAACACACCCCTAGCTAGCCCCACACCCCAATCCCTGCAGTACCCTGAGTCACTGGATCAGCACTGCCCCACGCCCTACCTAGCCCCACACCCCACTCCCCATGGCACCCTGCATCACTGGATTAGCACTGACCCAGGAGGCAAAGCACCCCTAGCTAGCCCCACACCCCAATCCCTGCAGTACCCTAAATCATAGCAGCAGCACTGAGCTCCAGGGCAGAGCGCCCCCTACTGAGCCCATCCCCTGCAGCAGTTTGGGTGTTGCTCAGACCCAGACCCAACGAGCTCCCAGCCCAAAGGCAGAACTGGCCACAGCCCGTCGCTGTCAGTCGGACCCAGCTCCGCCAGCAGGACAAGGGAGCGCGCCCAAGCCCAGCAAATCAGCGCGTGGCAGCTCCCCGCCCCCCCCTCACCTGCTCCGCGGACGGCAGGAAGGGCGTGTCCGAGCCCTGCCGGCGGTGGGGGTGCTGGAACAGCTTGGCGGTGATGACCGGGGAGGTGCGCGGGCTGTCCAGGCCGGGGTCAGAGAGCACCGAGTTCCGGTTCAGAGAGATCTGGGCAGGACAACAACCGCCTTATGACCGACGGGGGCAGCCGGGGAAAGCCCCAGGGACAAAAGCAGCACCGGGCCCTGTTTTGACTCCCGTGTGCCCAGGTCCAAAGGCCCCGTCGAAGGGCAAGGGCGACATCTAAACCAGTCCAACAGCGTGTCCAAAGGCAGGGGAAGTGGGCGCCAAATTAACAAACCCATTTCTAAACCAGTGTAGTTAGACCAGGCCGCACACCTAACTCCCACGCACTGGCTCAACTTCCTGCTGCCCTCGGATGCCTGAGATTCCCCCGCCTCATTAGTAACCTGCAGGTGTGCCCCTCCTCTGCGGCTGGCCGGCCTCATTCACCCTGCGAACTCCTGGGGCCAGGGCTCACCTCTTAGCCATGCTGCGGGGAGCACCGTGTCTGTGTGGGGCTCTATATAAAATCCCACACCAAAAAGACTAAAGGGGGAACATTTCCAAAGCCCTTAAGCAACTTAGGGGAGGATTGTTACAGGTGTTTCTGCCCCTGGATGGATTTTCAAAAGCCTCCAAGCCCCCAACACCCCTGGAAGTCCCTGTCCCTCTAGCCACCTGAATTATTTTAAAACTCCGCCCCGGTGGAAGGGGAAAGCAGTAGCCCATGCTGTGATGGAGGCGAGAGGATGGATTAAGGCAAGAGACTTCCCAGGGCTGTTGCAATGATCCAATAAGCACCGGGACCTTCAGGGCACGTCTATATTGCGGAGCTATTTCGGGATACTGGAAGTATCCTGAAATAGCCATTCCGTGTGTATTGAAGCAGCTTATTATAGGCGGCTTATTCTGACTTCCCAGTAACCCTCGTTCCACGAGGATTAAGGGGCATTTCGGAATAGCGAGTTCTTTCAAAGTTAATTACAAAAGAAGCTATTTTGAAATACACTTCAATTTTAAATTAATGGAGATTGCTTATCTCCTAGAACTGGAAGGAACCTAGAAAGGTCATCAAGTCCAGTTCCCTGACTTTACAGCAGGACCAAGTACCATCCCTGACAAATTTTTGCCCCAAATGGCCTCTGCAAGGATTGAACTCACCACCCTGGGTTTAGCAGCCCAATGCTCAAACCACTGAGCTAGCCCTCCCCCCTTGCAAAGTCTTGTGTCGAAGGCTGATTTTCAATAGATCGCAGCGAGGTAGCCGCTCTGCTACGCACGAAACCCTGACCCAGAATCAGGTCGACTACGAATGAAATAAGCTATGCAATTTGCACAGCTTATTTCGAACTTAGGGTGCTGTGTAGACGCGCCGTCAGAGAGAAGGCTGCACTTACAAGATATCCACCGTGATAAGAACATAAGAACGGCCGTACTGGGTCAGACCAAAGGTCCATTCAGCCCAGTATCCTGTCTGCCGACAGTGGCCAATGCCAGGTGCCCCAGAGGGAGTGAACCGAACAAGTAACGATCAAGCGATCTCTCTCCTGCCATCCATCTCCACCCTCTGACAAACAGAGGCTGGGGACACCATTCCTTACCCATCCTGGCTAATAGCCATGAATGGACTTAACCTCCATGAATTTATCTAGTTCTCTTTTAAATCCTGTTCTAGTCCTAGCCTTCACAGCCTCCTGAGGCAAGGAGTTCCACAGGTTGACTATGCGCTGTGTGAAGAACTTCCTTTGATTTGTTTTAAACCTGCTGCCCATTAGTTTCATTTGGTGGCCCCTAGTTCTTGTATTATGGGAACAAGTAAGTAACTTTTCCTTATTCACTTTCTCCACACCACTGGAAACACGGAGTTCAGGTACCTGAATAATGTTCCCTTTGCCTGAAGGTACCCTCCCCCCTTGCAGTAACGCCAAGATCCCGATTTGGGTACTGGCGGGTCTGTGGTTCAAGATTCAACGCGGCTGATTTTAAACAACCTCTGATTTTTTCCAGTTCCCACACTCAGCAAGTGCTGGATGTGGGGGGCGGGAGGGCAGAAGCGACCTTGCAGACAAAGCAAAGACGTTGACTCTGCTCCACGTGCAAAAGGGACCTGAAGCATAGTCACGAGGCCAGCGTCAGCACTGCCACGATACCCGTGAGCACAGCCCTCACCTCGCTCAACGATGGGAACCGTTCCGTGCCCGAGTCCAGGCCGCTGTCGCCATCCTGAGAGTCCAGAGAGAGGCGGCCTGGGAACGGAGGAGACCCGCAGACAGGGGCCACGTTAACCCCCACAAGAGGATCAATGGCCAGGGAGACCCACTCAATGGGGAGGGAGGGGGGCAGAACAAGGCCCAGCAGCGCTCGGTAAGCACCTTGTCTAGATCTGTGGACCCACCTCTCCATGTTCCCTTTGCCTCTCCGACCAGCTGCCGACAGCTTCTGGGATGCAGCGTGGTCCGCAGCACCAGGCCAGGCAGCAAGCTGCCCTAGCGCCCCTGCTGGTCACCAGGTCACCTGACATGGTGCCACCCAAGCCCGGGTCGCAACCCCTAGTTTGCAGACCACGGCCACACAGTCATGCCGTTGGCTCTGTACTGGTGCATTCTGGGAGACCTGGAGCGCGCAGGGGGAGTGCTGGGGACAGAGGCTTCTGGGTAATTTCCCAATGCAAGGAACGCCTGAATGCGGACAGCTGCCATGCTGGAAGCTTCCCCCCTGCACTGGAGAGACGCTATCGCAGCTCATGCGGATCGAGCCGGACTCGAGCCAAAGCCCTCAGCGCACCGGTGCAAGCCAAGTGTGCAAAACACCCGGGACGGCCACAGCGTCCGGACACAAGAGCTGCATGGGCATGGCCAGCTGACGTCACCCAGAGCGCTTGTCTGCTGGGGGGGGGGGCAGACAGACGGACAGACGGCCACAATGGGTACGCGCAGCTGCGTGGGAAGCGACTGTGCGACTCACCTTCCGTCCCCCTGAGACCGGCTGAGCCAGAGTTGCAGCACGGCTGCCCCAAGTCCTGAAATCGGAGGACACACAGATGTCACTGGTGTTTGCCTGGCTTTATAGATGGGGAAACTGAGGCACGGAAAGGGGGAAAAGCCTGATCTAAACAGGGGGAGGACCAGCTCCCTTCGACTTCAACAGGGGCTCCGAGCACCTCCAAGGACATGAAGCTGTGATGGAACCCAGTATAGGTCATCCTCAGGATTCCTGCACCACCATCACTACGCCGTCTCGGCTGAACTGGTTTCAGTCTTCCTTTGTGTCCACACTAGCTTTCACCTATATCATTTCAGCCTCGATGCTCTCTCAACCTGCACAGCTCAGCCCCCAGAAGCAGGGCACTCTGGGAGATTTCACACTGCCTGAGGGCAGCCTTACAAGGCACGCCCATCTCTGCAATGGGGCTAGCCCCACTTCTGGCTCCCCCCGGCACCAACCTCTGAGGAGATGGAGGCGGGGGGGAGAGGGGGAAATCACATGACCTTTAGAACCAGGAAGTAAGCAGCCCACTCGCGTACCACAGAGCTGCCCGTTTCCTGCAGGATCTTGAGCTGCAGCTGGCTGACCCTCCTGCGTGCCCCGACCATCCGTTCCTCGCGCGTGGTGGTGGGGTTCCTGCTGTACACTTCGAGGAGCCGCTGAGCGGGGAGACAAGAAGGGGAACAAGGTTACAACCAGCCACGCAGGGAAGGGAACATGCTTGTGGTGCAGTGTGGAGCTACCAAAAAAAAAAAGAGGGATGGTTGGCACCGATCAATTCCCCAGGTAGCTCCAGTGCGGGGCATCAGCTGGTGGCCACGGGAGTGAGGAAGGAAAGGCACTGCCCTTCCCACAAACTCTGTACAACAGGCCACACCAGGGCGAGCAGGTTTCATCAGCCTCGGGAACACCAGGCACACCACTGACCAAAGCGGGAGCCACCGAACAGACTGTGCGGTGGGAAGGGAAGCCCTGAGATTGGGAACAGAAATCTCTGCTCCAGGAGACGGCCCACTGGTCTGATCCAACATGCAGGGGTGGCCGATGGGACCAGATGGAGCAATAGCCCGCTCCAGTGCAAGCGAAGAGGCCTAGGAGCATGCGAGACAAGGCCAGGGCCTGCTCCTACGTGGCTGGCCACAGGAAGGAGACGGGCAACGCCTCGTACCTGTAACTCGGCCTCCTCCTGTTGCAGCATTTTGCGGAGGATCTGGGTCGCGTGCTTTTGAACTTCTGGGTCCTGCGGGTTGGAAGAGACGTGAGGCGGCGGAGACGGACGTCGCTTTGCTTTCCCCTCCCCGTCGTCCCGCCCCGCCAGGGGAACAGCGCAGCGGCCTGGCAGCCCTCCGCTGTCCTATCCCCCCGGGAGTTCAGGACAAACCAGCCCGGTAGCGCTGCGCCAGCCAGTTACCTGCAAGGGTTTGGGGTCTGTGATGCGCTGTGGCGGAGGCAGTGGTGGCGGGGGAGGTGGCGGGGGGCACATGGGCATCCCAGCTACGCTCACGTCGTGCTGAGGGCTGGAGAGCCCCACTGAGGGAGGAGGAGGCCCCAGGAGGGTCAGTGCAACGTAGGCGCCGGCTGGAGGAGAGAAGGAGCAGGGGCGAGAGGGAAAGACACGTCACTTTATAACTGATGAGGATTTAAAATGGGGGGGGGGTCATTGTCTCTAGCACTAACCCTGCCTCCCCACCCCAGCTCCACGACGCAGGCGTCTGGCACAGAGGGGCTCCAACAGAAGCGGATCCGAAGGGTACGTCTACACTTAAAGCGTGACAGTGGCATGCTGTAGCTACAGCAATGAGAGGGGTTCTCCCATCGGCGTAGGTGTTCTCTGAGAGGCCCTAGGTCTGTCGATGGAAGAATTCTTCCATCTCCCAGGTGCTGTCTACCCCGGGGGGAAGGTCAGCATAGCTAGCTCTCACGGGGAGGGATTTTTCACACCCCGGAGAGATGCAGTTATGCTGAAGTACATCAGAACGGCCACACTGGTCAGAGCAAAGGTCCATCTAGCCCAGTGTCCTGTCTGCTGATAGTGGCCAGTCTAGGTCTGTCGATGGAAGAATTCTTCCATCTCCCAGGTGCTGTCTACCCCGGGGGGAAGGTCAGCATAGCTAGCTCTCACGGGGAGGGATTTTTCACACCCCGGAGAGATGCAGTTATGCTGAAGTACATCAGAACGGCCACACTGGTCAGAGCAAAGGTCCATCTAGCCCAGTGTCCTGTCTGCTGATAGTGGCCAGTCTCAGGTGCCCCAGAGGGAATGAACAGAGCAGGGAATCATCAAGTGATCCATTTCCAGCC